TCTGGCTTTCCTGTTGGTTATTTGAACTTTTTTTTAATCTATAGTGTTTTTTAGTATATCTCTTTGTGTAATTTTTTGATGTGGTTACCCTAGAGATTACAGTGTGGTCATGCATTACATGATGGCATTTTGGTCAATGATAAACTGTGTGTATATTCAATTTTGATCACATATGATTAAATGGATTATAAGCAAAAAGTCTGTTTGTAATGCAGAAGATAAGGCTGGACCTGACTAAGAGGTAGAATTTACTGCCTGCTCTGGGTGATTTTATTTTTGTTCTGGGTGACTTAAATAGACAAGGAGGCTCGGCATGCTGTCCATATGCCCTGCACCTGAGGCTGGGGCACAGAGTTGGCTAGGGAGCGAGGGGAGAGGGTTAGAAAGAAGGGGAGCCTGGAAGCCCATTGCCCTCCACTCACACCTGCCTCTGCACACATGATACACACTCATTCATGTGTACTAACTCACTCACCTTAACCTAGTTTCTATTTATCTCTCTTTCTACCCAGTCCTGTTCCTTCCCTCTCCCTCTCTATCCTCTCCCTCTCCCTTTTATTATTTTTCATCTCTCTCTGGATCTCTTTTGATTTGTGTTCTCCCTTTCTCGCTCCTTCTCTTCCTTATCTCCCTTCTTCCTTCCCTCCTTCTGACATTTAGTCTCTGATAGCATCTACCTCCAAAGTCCTTCCCTTGTCCCTCCAATGTGTGACCATGTATATGCATGCGCGCGCGCACACACACACACACACACACACACACACACACAATCTTTTATATATTTTACTGCACCTTTTCTATTTTTAGATGTGTTTAGATACACAAATACTTACCATTGTGTTACAATTACCTACAGTATTCAGTACAGTAATGCTGTACAGGTTTGTACCTTAGAAACACTATGCTATACTAGATAGCCTAGTGTGTAGTAGGCTATACCATTTGAGTTTGCATAAACGCACTCGGTGATGTTTGCACAATGATGAAATCACCTAATGATGCACTTCTCAGAATGTATCCACGTCAGCAGATGATGTATGACCATATACATACCTAACTTACCACATTCTACTAGTGTCAAAATTCAAACATTCAAGTAGATTGTAGAAATGTAAGCACTTTTTAGGTTCCTTCACCATGTCCCCTTTATGATATAGTTGTCTTAAATATATCAAAATATATTGAGACACACATCAGACAATGTTATATTTTTCTGCTTTTAAACAAAATTTTTAAGTTCTAAAGAATTTTCTATTTTATTTATTTATGCATTACCCTCTCCATTGCTCCTTCTTTATTATTGTGTCCCAAGTTGACTTTTTCACCCATTTTGAGAAACGAATGACATATAACATTATATTAGTTCTAGATATACAATATAATGATTTGATATATCTATACAAGTTGACTTTTTAAATCATTTCTTCTGTCTATAGAACTTTTATTTCCATTTGGCTATTCTTTATTCTATTTCTTTGCTAATACTTTCTATGTTTTCATTTGTTTAATAAGTATTCATAACACTTTGTTGGAGACATTTTATGATAGCTACTTAAAATTCTTAGATAATTCCAATATCTATTTCTCTTGGTGTTAACACCTATTAATTATCTGGATGGTGTTACAGACCAATGTTCAGTTATCAGATCTTATATTGTATTGCTTCTATCTGGTCTCATGTATCAGTTATACAAAAGTCTGCCCAGGATTTTATATACAGGTTTAAAAATTCCCTTTTTCTAGCATGGCAGTTCCTCATAAAATTAAACGTAGAATTACCATATGATCCAGCAATTCCACTTCTGGGTATATACACAAAAGACTGAAAGCATGATGTCAAAAAGATATTTGTGCACTCAAGTTCATAGCAGCATTATTCAAAATAGTAAAGAGGTGGAAACAATCAAAATATCAGTTGGTAGATGAATAGATAAGCAAAATGTAGTACATATATACAATGGAATATTATTCAGCCTGAAAAAGGATAGAAATCTTGTCACATGCTACAACATAGATGAAACTTCAGGACATTATGCTAAGTGAAATAAGACAGGCACAAAAAGACAAATACTATATTATCCTACTAATATGAGGTATCTAAAGAAGCCAAATTCATAGAAACAGAAAGTAGAATGATGGTTACCAGGGGCTAAAGGAGGGAGCAAAAAGTAGTTATGGTTTAATGGTTCTAGAGTTTCAGATTCCCAAGATGAAAAGTTCTAGAGATCTTTTTCACAACAATGTGAATATAGTTAATACTTCTGAATTATACACTTAGAAATGGTGAAGATGAGAAATTTTATATTATATGTGTTTTAACACAATAAAAAAAGAAAAAAGGAAGGAAATTCTGACACATGCTACAATATAGATGATCACTGACATTATGCTAAGTAAACCAAGCCAGACACAAAAGGACAAATACTGTGTGATTCCATTTGTATGAGAAAACTAGAGTAGTCCAATTCATAGAGAGAAAATAGAATGGTGGTTGCAAGGGCCTGACAGGAGGGGGAATCAACAAATTTTTACCTAATGGCTACAGAGTTTCAGTTTGAGAAGATGAAAAAGTTCTAGACATGGATGGTAGTGATAGTAGCAAAATAAAGTGAATATGCTTAATGCCACTGAGCTATGATCTAAATATGGATAAAATGGTAAACTTTATGTTAAGTGTATTTTACCACAATAAAAAAAAAATCACTTTATCTAGATAACTACTCTCAAATAATCTTTCCTCATCTCCAATTGGTGGAGCAAGAAGAGGGGTACTCCTCTTATTTAAGGGCAAGAATAGAAGACAGGAATCTACCCATAGCTTCTAGGGCTAGAGGTTTAGGCATTGAGAGGGTGGACAGTGAATTTTTTTGTGGTGTTTACCTGAGTGGAGCTAAGATAGTCAACATGTTTATATCCTGCTAGGCTACCACTTTCCCAGTTTTTTTAATAGAAAGAGTAGACTTTTGTGGTATATATATAGAGAGATAGATAGATATGTATATATATATATTTTTTTTTTTTTTTGCCTGCAGCTATAGGTGTTTCTGGGTTTCAGGTGTCTCCAGAACTCACATCAGAATATATGAGGACAAAACAAAACAACACAATAATAAAAACAACAGGGAACTCACTACTTAATGGTAGTTCCTTGAGTCTTAATAAGCCCTTAGCTGGTGCACCTTCTTTTCCCCTACTTTTCAGAGCCCTGTGTCAGTTGCTTTGTGAATTTTACCTAGTTTTTATTTTTTGTTTCTCTGGGATTTTTTTTCTTAGAAAGAATAGGATGAAATGTGCTTACTACATTTCATCGGGTAGCTACACTTGCTACTTTTATATGCCCCGGGTCCCCTATATCGCTTTATAGTTAACCACATCCTACCACTTAGTAATTCTTGATATTATATTTTTCCTGTTCAAATTATTGGTGTGGTATTCATGTCCTGACCAATATGCAATTTTTGGTAATGATGCAGCTGAGGATATGACCATCAAGGTGGATGGTGAAATATGCAGAGGAGATGAACACTGGAAATGAAGATGTCATCAAATACAGAAAAGGAGGTGTTGGAAGGATCATCTACATCACACTTGAAGTCACAGAAGTGAGAAAAGAAAGACCATATGCCAGGAGCTCACTGGCTCAGCATCTTTACCACATTATGCCATGATCACCATGCAATTCCACAAATAAACCCAGGAGTTCTGACAGAACATCCCGTTTCAATTCTGATCCAAATATTCTACATGGTATAGTTCTCAGTGCTGGGTAGTGTCAAGAACCCCAGTTGGGGGTCAGGAAATATAATTCAAACTCTGGTTTCAACATGTATATGCTAGCCTGCAACCTCAGCAATACATTTCCTGTCACTGAATCCAGGTTCAAACCACATTTCCTCAGGTGTGAATTAGAATGTTTGTTTCTTTTCTGTCTGCCTCAGAGAATGGATGTGAAGGGATTTTGTACACACCACATTCACTAATATACTCATGCTAGAGATGAAGTCTTTCTACTTCTAGCTGCTCAGGCACATAGATTCTACAGCAAAGCATATCTTTTTGTCCTCACCCCTGTTCTGATCCAATCTTCCTTAGCTGTTCCCTTGGACAATGCTACAGTCTACTACCCATCTCTCTGAGAAGTCTCCCTCATAGACTGCCAGGTAAGTCTTTCTGAAACACGTCTTGTAAAACAGTAAGGTAATCTGTTAAAACCACAATGGCAGCCAATTACACATTTAGTAATTTCCATGATCCAATCTCAGTGAGCCTTGCAGCCAATCCTCCTCCTCACATTTTCCTCTCCTGTCCCCAGAGCATGTCAATTTGGCATTCATACAGGTTAGCTCACTGGTCTACAAACTTGCTAATTCTTATTTAGGTGCCTTTGAATAAGCTGTTGCCTCTGCCTGAAATACCCTCTTTCCCCATATCTGCTGGTTAAAATAATATTTTTCCTGCAAGACTCAACCCAAACACAATTCTAAGTACAGAGATTTTTTTCACACTATAGGAGGAAGTTTTTCCTCCATTGAGGGTCCACGGCATTTGACTTTTTCTTCTCTGGGAGGCACTCCCCACAAATGGTCTCATACTGTGGGTATCTATAAACATGCCATGTCTCCTTCACTAGCTGAGAACATCTCTCAGACAGGACTTATCTTAGTTGCCTCTCTGCAGCACTCAGAAGGAGGCCTGGAATATAGTAGTTATCCAGGAATGTTAGGCAAACAGATTGCTAGGTAGTGCATGCAGTTAAATTTTAAGCATGATTTGCAGAGGGGACAAATTTGAATTATGTGTGTGATTTATGAGCTTATGATTAAGAATGCAGTTGTAAGATTTGTAAGGAAGAAGTGGTCCATGCGTGTGTGCTATGTGCATAAGTGGCATATGAACACAGGAGAAATTCCCCAAGGTTTGCCCTCTCTACAGCTTGGCCAGGCTGGTCGTCTTACATGGCATTGGCCTTACCTCTTGCCCACCCCGACCCTGCTTCCTACCTTAAGTATATGTTGGACTGCAGCCCAAAGGCCCCATTTTCAACAGCTTTCTCAAAGGACATCATGGTATTCTCAGGCCCCAGCTGTGGAGAAAAGGACATTAGGCTCTGTCTCTCAGAGTTTCTCCTCTCAACATCCTTTCTATGGTAGTGTGGGAGCCCAGTAACGAAAGCGTTTTAGGAAGCAGATTCTGGCTTCCTGGGCTCTATTTTTAAAGAGCCTGCCTATATATTCCTCTACCCAATTTGATTCTGGGACTCTGCTCAGGTGAGACAATGTCACTGGGCGCAGTAGAGAAATGGACCTGGTGGTATTAGGTGACCTGGGCTCAAGTCTAACCTCTACAATTAACTCTTTATTCTTGTTATCTAAAGCTAGAGCCTTTTCACCTCCAAGTGTTCCTATGGTTCTGAGGTTCCCTTCTTTCATCTACACATCCCATGCATACCTGTACTCACCCATATCCATTATGCTCTAACCTACCATGGGTGCTCCTCTATGTCCGAAGATATGTGGCTTGGGTCCCAATTTATCCTTCTCCTGAATGCAGGGAGAATAAAAACCCAATGGCAGCACATACAGACATAAAAGGATGAGAAAAAAGGGCAATCCAATAGCCACTTGTACAGCTGAAAAAGTCAGAAGGAGTGGGGAGTGAATAAAAAGGTAAAGAGGAATGGAGACCCATCCCAAGCAACTATCACAAAGTAGCAGTCAGTAAATACCCAGTGCTTGGGTTTCATCAACTGTCTGGACTGACTGATATACTCTCTATTTCTGTCACGTCCCCACTTACTTTCAGTGATTTGAAAGCACAGGACTATGCAAATATGAGCATTATTATTAACTCAGTATTATTAGAACTGCAAATTTACAATGGAATGAATTGTACAGGTAGTAAGGAGGAAAGGAAGGAGAGGGGATCTTAAGGAATATATGGAATATATTTTCAGCAGATAGATTGGCTGGTTCTGAGAAAGCCCTGAAGCTTGTTATAAAGATCAGCCTGAAATGCCCCTATACATAAGGCAGTATAGTAGAGTAGAAGGGGCATTAGTTGACAGAAATCTAAGTTCAGATGCAGACATGACCTCTGTCTAATTCTGTGACTAAGGTCATGTTGCCTAACCTCTCTGGGTCTTTATTTCTTTCATTTTGAAAAATGGGGCTATCTTGATGCTAACATTTACCTCACAGAGTTAATATGACAGTGTTGACTCATAATAGATACTAAATATTAGGTATTTGCTTCTCTCTCTCTCTCATACACACACGCAAACATTGAGCCCATCTACAATACCTGTTATTGCTGGCCTTTCCCCCCAAAATTACTAGTATAGACCTCAGAGAATTTTACAAATTTGTACATTTTTAAGTTACCACCTATGCTTCAATCACTTTCAAATATAGATTCCCAGCTCTAACCTCTTAACTTTGTGAGTATATTAAATCTCTTGATTCTTTCTCTCTCGAACCATGTCATCTTGTATCTTCTTATTCTAACTAAAATTTCAGAAATGAAAAAGAAAAGAGTTCATTATTGTCCACTTTAAACTCTAGCCCCAAGACATTTTCTCCAATTCTCCATCTACATTACACACACATGTACAAACACACAGTGGCAACACTCTCAGTCCAGTCATTGTCTCCATCCTCACACAAGTCAGGAAGCGAACTTCCTGTTTAAGCAACAGTAAAAAGAGACGTAGAAAGAAGATCCTGGTTTCTCAGTAAGGGTGCTGAGAGATAACCCGAAACAATTTAATGTGCAGCTCTGATTCTCTTTTCTTTTCCTGATATTATGACAAAGAATGGAGGAGAAACCAGTGGCAGAGGTGGGCATTTCTGCTCTAAGTGCCCAGGTGTGAAAGGGACTCTCAGGGCTCTGCTTTGAGTACTAGGATGTAACCAGAGATATCTGGACCTAGTATAAGCTCATTAGTTGAAACTAGCAGCATTTGAAATCAAACTAAAAGAATTGTGACTAGGAGAAGCAGTCAAAATAGCACAGATGATATAAGTTTCACTCATCCCTTCTTGTGACCACATCCAAGTTGAGATGGAAACATGGAGCAAACCGCAAGCAGAGTCACCTGGGGGTCTAGATGAACAGAATCACTACAGCTAGAATTGGTTGAAGGTAGAAGAAGGTGAAGACGCAGGCTGCCCAATCCCCAGCAGCTGATAAGACAGAGGCTACAGGAGCCACAGCAGGCAGCTGCAGACGCCTCTTAAAGGGGCTATGTCCGCTGGACTTTTGCGGTTACAAACCTGCTCACCCCTTGTGACAGCACTGAGTTGGTTGCTTATGCATCACCAGGGACTTACAGGGGGACACTGAGTTGTAGGAGCGAGGGCCTGAGGCAAGGCTTTCTCCCAGGCAGAAGTGCTGGCAGTATCCATTGCTCCATTGTTGAGCTCTCCCCACTGCGAGTGTGCCAGTGTGCCGACACAGCACTGCCATAGCTGAGACGTCATCAAACTGGATAAGAGAGATCACTCCGCCCAGAGGATTCCCTGAAACTCCGCCTCCCCCAATTCGAAGCCCCACCCAATTCACATTCAGTTGTGTCCTCAGTGAGTCCTGTGCCACTTGTTGAGCAGCGCCAAGACCCACACTGTTGGAAGCTGACCTCAGTTTCTGGCGTGGCTTCTTGAGGCAACTATAAGCACAGCATCTGTGGATTGCTTGCTGAATCTTAACAGGTAGCCCCCAGAGGGGCACAGACTGAAGCTAAACTGGGCCTACAGCTGAACCCCTCTCAGAACTGTGCCTCAGGACACCTACTATACAAAGCCATGTTAATAAGACTGGGAAACATAGGAGCTTTGCTTAGTACATAGAAACAGGCATAGAAAAGCAGCCAAAATGGGAAGACAAAGAAATAGAAACCATATGAAAGTATACAACAGAGATAAAGGAAAAATGTTGTCAAGCAATCTCACAGATGCAGAGTTCAAAACACTGGCTATAAGGATGCTCAATGTAATTAAGGGGAGTATAGATGAAGTCAGTGAGAACTTGAACAAAGAGATAAAAGACATAAAAATAGAAATGGAAATTATAAAAGAGAACCAGTCAGAAATGAAGAACACATTATCTGAGATAAAGAGTATATTAGAGGAAATCAATAGAGTGGAAGAAGAAGAGGATCGAAACACTGATATAGAAGATGAGCAAAGCAAGGACACCCAACCAGAATGACAAGAAAAAAGTAACCAAGAATCTAATAATAATTTAGGAGCCTATGAGACAAAATTAAGGATAACAACATCCATGTAATAGGAATACCTGAAGAAGAAGAACAAGAAGTTGAATACATATTTGAAGAAATAATGATGGAAAACTTCCCTAAGCTGGTGAAAAAAAGACATACAACCAGGAAGCTCAGAGCATCGCCCCCCCCAAATGAACCCAAAGAGGCCCACACCAAGACACATCATAATTAAAATGCCAGCAGTTAAATACATAGAGAGAATCATAAAAGCAGCAAGAGAAAAGAAATTAGTTACCTACAAGGGAAATCCCATAAGATTTCTCAAAGGAAACCATGCAGGACAGATGGGCTTGGCACAAAATATTCAAAGTGTTGAAAATCCAAAATCTACAACCAAGAATACTTTAACCAGCAAAGCAATCATTTAGAGTAGAAGGACAGATAAAGGGCTTCCCAGACAAAAATAAGGTAAAAGACTTTATCAACGCCAAGCCAGTATTTCAGGAAATGCAAGTTAAAGTCAGAGCTGAAAGGATAATGCAAGGTTCCACCCACATGACGTACCTTCTTGTTCCAAGTGGATTAAGTAGAAGGCCACGGGCCAGGAAACAATAACCATCACAGTTATACTGCTCAGGTGCATGTAGGGAGCAAAGACCTGGGAGAAAGCCAAAAGTCAGGTTGACCACACTGGACAAAGTGTTAGACCTACAGGATGATGCTTACCTTCAGTGAGAGCCCAACTGTCAGCCACTTGTCTTTCCAGTAAATGCATAAAATCAACAGAAAAAACGTGCACATCAGAATCACTAGCAGTGTCAGGATCTGAGAAAACAGAAAAAAAACCTCCTGACTTCTAGGCACTAGGCTTGGATCAAAACTGTCCTTGTGTCCCCACAATGTAAGGGACCTCATTTCTCATCTTTTTAATCTGACAACTCTTCAAAATACCCAATATTTGATGGGCCCAGTCATTTACCTTCCTTGTTCCCGAGTCTCTTTGTATAGCATGGTTGAAAAAATTACATAGCTACATCGTCTGATGCTTTTACTAGTTATATCCAGCCTCAGCTGGGCCCACAACATTGCCTGTCATCTCTCTCAGTTTAAACGATAATCATTACAGATATTCATTACTTTTTTATTCAACTCAATACAATCGTGAGTAAAAGGCAATTTTGTAATTGCCTTTTTGATGTATATTTTCCCCAAAAGCCTATAAATTTCATGAGATCAAGGACAATCCTCATTGTTGTGCAGAATGTCTGACACAGAGTAAGCAGTCAGTAAATAGTTGTTGAACAGATGAAAAAGTATCTGCCTTCCAGAACACTATATACTTCATAAAGAACACTGAGACCAAGCATACATAACTTTAACGTCTTCCCCTTGAAATGTATAGTCTATACATTCTATATCTGTGCTGCCTTCTAGAGAGTGCTTAGTTCCTTCCTTTCCATAATCTCTATATTTATTAACGTAACTGAATCCATAATTTAAAACTTTTCACAAAATAACTCCAAGCCTTATTGGCATAAGTGGTTAATTTTACTAAGCATTTCAGGAAGAAATATTTCCAATCTTTAACAAACTCTTTCAGAAAATAGAGAGGTAACAATAATTTCTATTATGAAGCAAATAAAACATTGATATCAAGAGTCAACAAGGGCAGTGGTCCCCAAACCCTGGACCGTCGACTGGTACCAGTCGGGGCCACACAGCAGAAGGTGAGTGGCGTGCAAGAAAGCAAAGCTTCATCTGTATTTGCAGCCACTCCCCAATGCTAGCATCACCTTCTCAGCTACATTTCAAATCATCAGGTATTAGATTCTCATAGGAGCACTGGTTCCTGGTGCCAAAAATGTTGGGGACTGCTAACAAGGACATTAAAAGAAAAGTACAATCATGTGCCATAATAACAATGTTTCAGTCAACAACAAATTGCACATAGAACTGTGGTCCCATAGGATCATAATAAACCGGAAAAATCTCTTTCACATAATGATGTCTTAGACATCATAATGGCATAGCGCAATGTATTAGTCAAGGGTTTGTGATCATGCTGGTGTAAAAAACCCACTGCACCACCACTTGTATAAAAGTACAGTAACATTTTCATGTTAAGATACATGAAATCTAACCTCTGCTTCATAATTGCCTACAATATTCAGTACAGTAACATGTTGTACAAGTTTGTAGCCTAAGAGCAATACGCTAAACCGCATAGCTATATGGATATACCACTGTAGTAGATAATAAGCTTTACCATTTAGGGTTAAGTAAGTATACCCTATGGTGTTCAAAGACAAAGTCGCCAAAGGATGCATTTCTAAAATGTACCCCTATCCTTAAGTGGCACATGACTGTAGAGGCCAATCTCTCCTACGTACATAAATGCAAAAATCTTAAATGACCTATTAGGAAACCAAATTATGGCAACAAAAATGTCTGTCAAATCAGACTCAAGAGTCTCATGTGATTCTGTGATCTTATCCAACACCAACCTTAACTAACGATTTAAAGAATACAGGCAATTATAAGGTAAAAATAAAACATTCCTTTGGAGAAATCTCATCCTGTCAAATGCAGATACTCATCAAAAGTTCTTTTCTCTCTTATACTAGAATACATGCTGGCCTTAGACTTAAAATGTGAAATGTGTTTTGAGCAAAGTATGCGGAAACACTGCTTCACAGGAGCCTTTGCAGTTATAGAACATCCTTATCTTATATCCCATTAATTATACACTCCAGCCAGCCATGTCTCCCACCCTACAAATCTATAAATTCCAGGTTTATTTACAATAAGCAACCCAGATACACCAGGTTATATTCTGCTAGAAAGTTTCATAGATAAAGACTCTCATTATCTTTGCCTGAGAAATATCTTTAGCGTGCTTTCCAGGAGGTTGGGTTATTAGCGTATGTACAGGGAGTTTTGATTGAGGTCATTCATTCTTTTCTGAGCATCCCTAGGTAGAAGAGGATGGGTTATAGGCCTGGTGCTAACCCTTTCTTTCCAGATTTATTCTGAGTACATGAGAACTAAAATTCTAAGCCCTGTAGAATCTCCCCAGTAGAAGCAGTTTTTCCTCCCAGCTCTGGTAAGCCTAGTCCTTCATAGTTTGAAGGACCAACCAAGAAAGTTACCCAGGGGAAGCCAACTCTTCTCACACTCCACTTCTATCTCTTCTCACTGCATACAGACTCAGAATTGGAATTAGATCCCAGAATGCCTCGAGACATGAAGGCTTCGTTAATTTATATTGATATAAACCCTATAGAATATGTGTGAAAACAAATAGTTAGGATACTAAACAAGGAGAACATAATTTTAAATCAGGCTAAATTTATTGATATGAGTACAGCTACTAAAACTTATGAATTTAATATAGTAGAATCCAGGTATTGTGCATCTCAAAATGGTTCTAATTGTTTGTTTGGTTATCTGAAAGCTTGGCTCAGTACTGGCCTATGCTCGATGAAATGGGAATCCAGAAATTTCTTGGTATTATATAGAAAAAAATTATCCAAACATTTATTGAGAAATGTTTGCTAGAATGCTATGACCTATAATAAGCTAACCCACTCCCTATCATGTTCTATGGGAGGTCTCAGAAGACACTGAAAAATACAGTGGTGAGGAAAGTGTCAGCATCCATGAAAAGCACTGTGGTGGCTATCCTCTATGCTTGAATAAAGGTGAGAGATGCTGCCACTGAAAATGGCTTCCTGATTTCAAAGGCAATGATGAGAAGGCCAAGTAGTACCACTAAGTGCCAGAGGCAAGGTAAGAATGGTTGTTGTAATAGGCACCAGCCTGGAATGTAATAAATTTGTAAACCCATGCAAATTTTTGTAGTGGCTAACTGATCTTGGTGTCCCAACTCCAAAACAGAGAGTGATCTCATTAAGGCCTTCTTGTTCACTTTTCAATCTCTATTCTTTCCTGCAAGATCTTATGACTTCTGTTTCCATTCATTCTAATAACTTAAAATTATATTTCCAGTTCATGTCTCATTTGAGTAAGAGGAAATTTAAGTGGACCACTCAGAGACTCTGACATGTTCCGGAATTCAGGAAACATGAAGAAATGCGTCATACGCATACCTGAAGAAGTCTATAAAAGAGCAAGAAGCTGTGGGGTGAAGCTGTTCAAGCCCAGGGCAGAACAAAATGAGGGAGGCTATGCTGGAAATGAACTGCATATTCACAGGTATTGGGACAAAGATGCTTGCTTTCTGGTGACCAGATGCAGATACTTTGAGAGAAGCCTTGCTGGTGTCATTTTAAAAAGCGCTGAACTAAGGGAGGGTCAAAAGGACCTCACCAGAGAAATTTCAGGGATATAAAAAGACAAGCATTGACTCTACCAACAGAGTTGCCGTGAAGGTTCTCAGCAGAAGGGTTTCTGAAAATACACACATAAAAAGCCTGTGGGATAAAGAGCTAACAACCGTGCATTTACCTGGTCCTGATGGAATCAACCCCAGATGACCCTCTTGCCTTTCCTTGTGGGACTGTGTTCTTTTATCCTATCGCCTCTGCCCCTGAGTACTCCTTTGGTGAAAGAGAGGTAAAAGACCATCAGGCTCTTTCCACCAGGGCAGGCTTCCAGGCCAAGGTCAGGCCCAAACAGCAAAGGGGAAAAGTCTTACAGAGTTGGAATTGGGGTTATTACAATGAACTAAAATTTTTAATGACTGAAAAGAGAATGTTCTTGTGACTATAAAATATAGGACTGGAAACTAATGGAGCATGCCTATTTTATAGAGATGGGAAGAACTGAATCACAGAGTAAGATTAACAAGGAGCAGTTAAAAAAATAAAATTTGGGTTCCACTCCTTCAGTAAATCACTTACATCTGATAGAAATGTAATGATTTCAGTAAAATGATATAAGTACATCTCTTCTTTCCAAAGGGAATAATGAAAGAAATGTGATTCTGTACTTAACACTTGAATGTCAAAAAGGCATGACATTCAGTACTGGTCTAAGGTCTCCTATGAAGATTCAGATGTCCTACCTTATGGTAGCAGTGCAGATATAGTTCATTCCCTCCCCAAATTAACAAAAATCCAAGGACCTGAAAAACCAAAGAAAAAGGAGGTTATTTTGAAATCACCAACTGGCAGCCCATAGCAGTGTTCTGAAGACAAAATGCCTTTCACTACATTCTCTGCACTTTTCCGCCTCTGGGAGTTTGCCATGCTGTTCCTCTGCCTGAAAAGCTCTCCTTCCCCATGGCACTGACCCTTCAGAGCCAGTTCAAATGCCACCTCCTATTTGTAACTTTCACCAGCACCCTCAGGAACAATTAATTATTATCTTTGGGATTTCATAACAAGCACTACACTGATATCCTTCCTGAGTTCCTACCAATATCTTTTCCCTGTGATGGACCTTATTCTCAGTATTACTCAGACCAATTTATGAGAGAAGAGATGTCAGGGACCAACCCTTCCAAGGGTCATTTAAAAGTTCTTTCTTGAGGAACCAGTGTCATCATTACAACTGCTAACCTCTGCTAGTAATACTAGTATTCAGTCAATAAATCTTAGATTTTAATATAAATCTAGCCAGTTACCAAGTCAGTGTGGAGACAAAAGATGAAAACTGGAGTCCTCAGGGACTTAGGGTATTACTGAAAGTTGGAATGTATATGGTACTAACCTTTTCATCAAAATAATTTTATGTATGATTTTATTTCTTCTTTACCCAGCCCTAATACCATTCTATTAAATATTATTATGATCCTCATATAAAAAAAAGACTGAGTCTCATAAGTTATATGACTTGACCAAGGATACAAAGTAATTTAAAGACAGAATTGGAAATAGAACCCAGGTCTCCCATCTTGTTCACTGTTGATGCCACTGTGTGGATCCAAAAAAGGGGTAGGGTAGAGTAGGAAGTTTGTTAAAATGTATGTTTTATTGCACTGTAGAACTCATTCCTACCTTAGAAGCTAACTACAGTATTTCATATTTATTGTGTATAAAAGCAGTACAATTCAGTGGCCAGAGACCAGTAGCTCAGAGCATATCCTTCATTGCATTTTACCCATAAAAAGAAAAGTACCTAAATGTTCTGCCTATAGTCACCCTCCACACTGCAAGTTCCAAGACAATTTTCCTGAAATAGAAATCTGATTTATGCTAAATGTCTTAGCCTTACTTTCCAGGCCTTTCAAAAGCTGTCATGAGCCTATCTTTTTAGCCATGTTCCCCATTATTCTTCATTATGCCCTACATGCTAACAGAACTGACTTTCCCCTCTTATATTGGAACCACATATTTTTGTCCTGCTGACTTTGTCATGATGTCCCTCAGCCTGAAATGTTCTTCATCCCCACATATACATGTCCAAATCCACCATTCCTTCAAGATCCCACTCCAGTGCCACTTCTTCCAAGAAGGTGCTTAATCCTGTTGGCAGAAGTCACCTCTTATTTCTCAGAACCCACGCAGAACTTCACGTAGGACTCTCTAATGACAACTGTAATGTTTTGCTTGTGTTAGTTATTTTTGGCTATGATTTAGTGTCCCTACTAGAGTCTAAACTCACTGAAGTAAAGAACTATTGTAACTTCATATCTCATACATATCTCTTTGAAGTGCCCTGCATGAAAACAAAAATGATTAATAAATCATTTTATTAATGAAATGAAAACTTATTTATTAATGAAAACTTAATGATTAATAAATTTTTTTTGGAAAAAAAAATTAATGCAAATGGCAACTTATTTGGGGGTTGGGACCTTCTGTATCAGACAGGAAATCAGCAGGGACAAGGGATCGTGATATAAGAGACAAATGTATGTGCCATAAGTATAAATAGGCACTGAAAAACTCCAATTATCTAAAGTTATTCTCCCATAAGCTTTCTACTTCCACAGTCTTTTATCTTGCTTAGCCGGAATTCTTCCCACTACATGACACTGTTATGTGACAACAGAGAAGGGACACTATTGCCAAAATACTTTTGCTCAAATGTACTTTGTAACTGGGCTAGTGGACTAGCATATACACATTAGAACAGGTTTTAAAAAACTAGGTAACTTGTAAGGCCCAGGAAGACAGAATATCAGGAGATGTGATACGAAATGAGTTAGTTCAATGTATAAAGGTACTGCTAATGTAAAGCTCTGAGTATCTAAAATAATAATTTTGAGTGAACCATAAAATAGGCTATGAATCAGGGGAATAGAAAAAGGATGTTCTGGCACCCTTTCAAAATGCCAAAATGATAAGATGCATCCTCTACTAGTACAAGTCCTTTTTTCTCCATCTATCCCTCGTGCCTAAAATTTAAGCAGCTGATATAACCCCCAACTCTACTACGACAAGAGTGATTTTAGGTTCTGAGGGCTCCCAGAACCAACTGAGCACCATACCACAGACAAGAACATCTCATGAAACTACTCAGCAAGGGAGTGGAAAAAACGGGAAACACTACTCACCAACAGCAATGAAGAGTAGGCAGTCAGGATTCCAAATAAACTCAGCAAAAGAAGGGACCAGAAGAACCAGTATCCTGTACCTAGAAAAACAACCCTGCAAAAACATGAATCCTTAAAACACAGCAGAAATTAGTAGCATCTGTGTCAAGATGGGAGACAAAACTGAACTAGATGAGGCATAAGAAAACACAGGGAGATAAAAAGAAGCAATTTGGGAAAAGCTGAGAGGAGCTATAGGGATATTCAGTTAGGAGTTTTACCTTTGTCCTATAGACAACTGGATATTTAGTGGGGGTCTGTATAACTGCTATAATTTTTTTAATGTTACTTAGAATATATACTCAAATATTATGTCCTCTTGGTAAAACAATACAATAATACAGAAATTCTAAAGTGCCAAAAGAGAAAAAAGTCATCCATAAGTTAACTGCCCTAATAAAACTAATAATTTCCATTTGAATAGATTCCTTGTCCATGCGTGTGTATGCTTTCCTGCATAATTGCAATCATAGCCATCACATTAATTACTTTATCCTGTGTAAGAAATTTGGGCCCTTAAAACAGTCCTGATGTGTTCTTTTCCTGAAGTAGTTTATGAGACAAAACTGCTATTAATTTGCTAAGAAAAACAGTGTTATTCTTGCTCTAGATATCACATGTAGAGACTTTAAGACTCTTCATTTAAAAATAAGAGAAATAACCTCCTCTCCATATAAACCTGGAGAAATTATATGTAAACAATATAATATATAGATTAATGAACATATAACCACATTACAAATAAGAAAGGAAATTCTCTAGTCAGGGGCTCTAAGACATACCAAGAAAAAAGAAACAGGTAAGCAGTCATCCTAGAAGAGCTATCCCAGATCAAGACATTAGCAAGACATTAGCAAGACATCTTCTACTTGGTAGAAGATGAAGTCACAACAAGGAATCAAAACGTGTAAGGAATGTCAACAAATGAACCCGATGTAGCCAACTAATAGGATAACTTGCATCCAAGAAAATATAATTTAAAAAACAATCAGAAAACAACCACTAAACAAATATAAGACCTTCAGAATTTCTAGTCAATATGGCGGAGTAGGTAAACACTGTGCTCACTTCCTCCCATGACCAAATCAAAACTACAGCTAAATTAGAAACTAATCACCCTTGAGAACCACCAGAAGATTGGCTGAACAGATATTTATAATTAAGGATAAAAAGATGTCATGTCCAGACTGGGAAGAGTGGCGGAGGAGATGTGAAACAGGCTGATCCCACACCCAAGTGTGACTGTTAAGCATTGGGAGGGATAACTCAACTGTGGAGGTCCCCTCTGAAGAGCGAGGGGTACCAGGCCCACACCACGCTCCCGCGCCCAGAGCACCAGTACCAGGAAGAGGAGTCTTGACAACAGCTGGCTATTAAAATCAGCAGGGATTGTGTCTAGTGAGACAGAGAGTTGCTGTAGACACAGGTGTCCTCTCAAAAGAGCCTCAGCACAGACTCACTCACTCACAAATCCTCCCTAAGCTCCAGAAAAAGAAGTAGCAGGGACATACAGGGAGGTACTAATTATCCAAAAAGTAGCAGGGACATACAGGGAGGTACTAATTATCTGGTTTTAGGCAGAAGAACTAAACCAAATGAAAGCAGGTAGTCTACCAAAAGCAGAGTTCGAAACACTGGTTCTAAGGATGCTCAATGAACTTGGGAGAAGAGCAGATGATCTCAGCGAGAACTTCAACAAAGAAATAGGAAACATAAAAAAAGGAGACAATTGGAACAAAAAAGAACCAGTCGGAAATGAAATACAATAATTGAAATGAAGAATACATTAAAAGGAATCAACAAAAGTTGAGATGAAGCAGAGAATCAAATCAGTGATTTGGAAGGCAAGATAGTGGCAAACACCTGACTGGAACAGCAAAAAGAAAAATGAATTTTAAAAAATGGGGGTAGTTTAAGAGACCTCTGGGAAAACATCAAGCATAACAACATTAACATCATAGGGGTACCAGAAGAAGAGAGATCAAGGGATTGAAAACCTATTTAAAGAAATGATGACAGAAAACTCCCTAACATGGCAAAAGAAACAGACATACAAGTCCAGTAAATGCAGAGTCCCAAACAAGATGAACCCGAAGAGGCATACACCAAGATACATCACATTTAAAATGCCAAAGATGAAAGAGAGAGAGAATCTTAAAAGTGGCAAGGGAAAAGCCATTAGTTACATATGAGAGGGCTCCCATAAGACTGTCAGCAGATTTCTCAACAGAAACACTGAAAGCCAGAAGGAACTGACATGACTTATTCAAAGTGATGAAAAGCAAGGACATACAATCAAGATTACTCTACCCAGCAAGCCTATTATTCAGAATCTAAAGAGAGATAAAGTGCTTCTCGGACAAGAAAAAGTTGAAGGAGTTCATCACCACCAAACTAGTATTACAAATAATGTTAAAAGGACTTCTTTAAAAAAAAAAGAAAAGAAAAATCAGAAATATGAATAAGAACATAGCACAAAGAAAACAATTCTCATTCGCAAAGCCAAACACATAATAAGAGCAGTGGATCAACCAACACTAAAGCTAGAACAAAAGTTAAAAGTCAAAAATAGGAATATCATGTGTAATTATAACAGTTACTTAAAGGATACATACAATCACACAAGCAAAAAAAGTAAAAAAATAATGACAAAAACATAAATGTGGAGGTGAGTAAAAATAGCGATTTTAGAGTATGTTTGAAATTAAGCAACCATCAACTTAAACTGCTATAAATATAGCTTGGTATATATAAGATCACAGTCATCACAAACCAAAAATCTATAAGAGATACACAAGAAATAAAGAGAAAGGAATCCAACACAACACTACAGGAAGTTGTCAATATACAAGACAAGAGATCAAGAGAATAAGAAAGGAACAGTGAACTACAAAACCATTCAGAAACCATTTAATAAAAAGGCAATAACTACATACCTATCAATAATTACATTGAGAGTAAGTGGATTAAATGCTCCAATAAAAAAAAATGTAGGAGGGGATTAAAAGGTACAAATTGGTAGTTACAAAATACCATGGGCATGTAAAGTATAGCACAGGAATATAGTTCATAATATTGTAATAACGTGTGGTACCAGATGGGTACTAGATTTATTGGGCTGATCACTTTACAAGTTATATTAATGTCCAATCACTATGTTGTACACCTAAAACTTTAATAATATTCTATGTCAACTGTAATTGAAAAAAATATTAAAAAGGAAAACATAAAATGCCTTAAAGATCAAGAACTGAGAAGCATGGCACCAATGAGGTGCTCCTGTTCTGTCTCCTTGAAGTTACAAGTTGAAAAGCTATAATTTCTCTGGGCACATCTTTTTTTCACTCCGTTTCAATCTAAAAGGTCTTCCTTTGTGTATTCAATCACATGAAATTTTATTATTAGATTGCTTCAGCTCAAAACTCAATCACCAAACTCATGTGAAGTGCCCACACACCTGTGAACTGCAAGCAAAGGAAGAACTGTGATTTCCTTCTTCCTCTCTTTTTTCTCTCTCCTTTTTGTTCCTTCTTCCTGTCCCATTCATCTGCACTCACTCTTGGTGGTGGCGGTGGTGGTGGTGGGGTAACAAAAAGGAATAAGAAGAATGCAAACGACTTTGCTTCAGTAAATGCCTGTACTAAATGCAATGAGAAGTGAGAAGGGGTCTTTCACAGCTATCCCTTCTTGAAACTGGGAACATACAGCTACTAATGACTACAATAGGCTCACTCTACATGGATTATCCAATTTAGGGTTCTTCTGACTTAGTATTTTCAAGCAATATCTCTCTGCTCTGTGTCACTATTTTACATCCCTAGCAGCATTTTAAATATACCTCCATTTTGATTACAGGCCTTCTCATACAACTGAGACTGCCTTCTTGGGGCAATCTCATCTAAATCCATATTCTTTG